AATATAAAGGTAGCTGTCTGATTGTGGAGTCCTGTAGCTCAGTGGTTAGAGCACTCGCTTTGCAAGTGAGAGACCTGAGTTCAATTCCAGGCAGAGGGCGAAACCTTGGGCAAGTTTCCTTACTCCACACAGAGCCTAATAATAATCCCTCCAAAACCAAATCAATCTACGACTGTTTGTCGTCGCAATTGGCTGCCGCGTTCGCCCACAAATATACAGTCAATTCACTTTACAGTGTGTTCTGTGAAGCGCTTTGGGACGTTCTCCCGACGTGAAAAGCGCTATATCAAATGCAAGGATTATTATTATTATTATTATTACAGGCACCTGTAATTCCCTGTGTATTTTGCACACGGTTTCATAAGCAGCTCAGGAACGTACAACGAAGGAATAGAAAATGAACTATTTCTCTGTTTTTTTAAAAAAAAACACGATTTTAAAACGGGAAGAATTGAGAGCTGCGAGTTCCTCGCTCACAGCCTTAGATAAGCTTTCCACGAAAACAAGGCTCACGTCTGCTCTGAAGGACACTTTGTTTTCCCTGAATTCCTGATGGATTTCACCTCACTGTCAGATGCTGGTTTACCAGCAAAGCGAAGGCGACAGCATTAACCAGTCTGTCAGGGAGACGTCATAACTCAGGTAAGAGAGGCCGGACCGTCATTCCTCCTCTCACCATCTCCACAGCCCAGTGTCTGCACTGTCTCACTGTCCTGAGGAATAGCAAGTACATCTCTCTAGAAACATTTATTCTGAACAGATTATCCTCCATTACACTATTTGTCTCAGCCCAGCTAGTGTGTGTGTGTGTGTGTGTGTGTGTGTCAGCCCGGCTCGGTCGGTAGCACTCTTGCCTTTGAGATAGAAGATAGTGGGCTGAAGCCCTATATTGGGGGCTTTGAACTCATATAATCCAGGCTGACACTCACATGCAGTGCTGAGATACTGAACTCATAATTGTTTGACCACAAAAGCACAGAGAGGGACTCCACTTTACACTGAATCCTGTGAGACGTCAACCCGCCAGGAAAACCGTATCAAATGTAAGATTTGTCAGACCCACATCCTTGCCCGTTTGGGGGAGAACATTGATTAAGGGTGGCAGACAATTTCAGTGGGGGATTTCCTCGGTTTAGCGGCAGTGCAGATACCGCTGGTCAAAGAGCCTGTGCTTTAGCCACTGGGAGGGATCAGTGCGGAGGCTTGAAAGGCCTTCTCAGCACCTCGCCTCGGTCCAGAGCGTGGCAGCGCCTTTGATGTAGAGCCAACAAACTAACCACCGTTTTGTTCCACACTTGCAAGCGAATATTTTTTAAAAAAAAGGACAATGTGCATTTTGTTTTGATGATAAGGTCAGAAAATAAGGAGTCATGAGGGGAAGATTCCCTTTAAAGGAATCCTGTAGCTCAGTGGTTAGAGCGCTCGCCTCGCAAGCGAGAGGTCCTGGGTTTGATTCCCGGGCCGGGCAAAACCTTAGGCAAGTTTCCTTACTCCACACACCTCTGTTTACAGCAGTGAGTAGGAACCCGGTTGTTAAGTCGATTGGTGGAACTCTTTTAGGGGTATCATAATCCTTTCAAAAAAAATCCCAATAATGCAATCACGCAATCCACGACTGTTTGTGGGACGTTGCTGTGCGTGTTTGGCTGCCGTGTTTCGCCCACAAAATATACAGTTAATTCGCGTTACAGTATATTCGGTGAAGCGCTTTGAAACATCTCAAACACATGATAAAGCGCTCTATCAAATGCAAGGTTTATTATTATTACAGAGGAATGTTGCCATTTTGGTAAGAGAAAGAGCAAACTTCAGTTTTGAACCAGTTAAATCAGAAGGAATTGGTTAAGTGTGGGATTGAAGAAATGGGGGAGTGAGCCCCAGCACAGACACAATGGGGAGGAGAGAGAGGGAGCAGGGAATGGGGTTAGAGAGAGGGAGCAGGGAATGGGGTTAGAGTAGAGAGCTTCAGTGGGGGAGCGAGCCCCAGCACAGACACGATGGGGAGAGAGGGAGCAGGGAATGGGGTTAGTGTAGAGAGCTTCAGTGGGGGAGCGAGCCCCAGCACAGACACGATGGGGAGAGAGGGAGCAGGGAATGGGGTTAGAGTAGAGAGCTTCAGTGGGGGAGCGAGCCCCAGCACAGACACGATGGGGAGAGAGAGAGAGGGAGCAGGGAATGGGGTTAGAGTAGAGAGCTTCAGTGGGGGAGCGAGCCCCAGCACAGACACGATGGGGAGAGAGAGAGGGAGCAGGGAATGGGGTTAGAGTAGAGAGCTCCAGTGGGGGATTGAGCACCAGCACAAATAGACTAATCTTCAGATTCAAACAAACATTTTCAGTCAAAGTGAGGGGACGGGAGAGGGAGTTCATGAAGCTGTGGGAGAGCAGGTTGGGTGGGTTTTACAGCAGATGAGGAGAGCTCTTAAAGAGTGGAGACACTCAAGTTTTTCTGCTGTAACAATACATTTCATCCAAAAATCCACACTGTAGCTTAAGTCTGACCCCTGGAAAGGCAAACTCTCTCTCCTTTAAACTAAAGTTTCAACTTATACACACACAATACAGCATTCCTCTGAAATGATCCTTTATGGAGACATGTTCATGCATGGGTGGGGGGGAAGCGTCTTCGTGTTCCGTATACGTTGCCACTAGGAGAACACTGTTTTTCCTTTATTTAAAATAAAAATGAGTGTTGCTGCCAACTGATTGCAGCTCACATTACCACCAGCTTCAACGTGCTCAAGTTAAAGCGCACTATTCATCCCTTTATTGCTGCCATGGGCACACGTGCAGGCACACGCATGCACACATGCACGCACATGTTTGCCACAAGAGTGATAAAACAGTGTTTGCAGAATAATAATCCTTGGATTTGATGGAGCTCCTTACCACATCTTCGAGGCGTCTCAAAACGCTTCACAGAATATACTGTAAAGTGTAGTGATTGTGTATTTTGTGGGCGAAACCAGGAACAGGAGCTTTTTAGCACCAAATAAATGAGTTTGGGGACAACAATAATAATAAGAGTATTATGTATCCAGTGCAGCCTGGACATTGACTGCCTACATTTTAAAATAGAAATACAGGTCTCCTCTAGCTGCACACTTTGCTCTCTCCCCCCTCCCCTGGGTTCTGATTTATTTTTATATTAAAAAAAACATTACTGAGCCACGCATGAAAAGCAGTTCACTGCACACACAGTATATTGATCGTAAAGTCAGGGGTATTGCATTATCCCAGCAATTCCCTGTCTTCCCAGGGAGCACAGTCTGACAGTGACCTCTGCTTCCGTTATTCTAAAAATTTTCAAATATTAAAAACAATCTTTAAAATGTGATATAATAATAATCCTGGCATTTGCACCTCATCACATCTTTGAGACGTCTCAAAGCGCTTCACAGGATACACTACAAAGTGAATTGACTATTGTGTGGGGCAAAACACGGCAGTTAATTGCGCACAGCAGCGTCCCACAAACAGTCGTGGATTGACTGACCAAACTATTATTATTATTTTTTTTGAAGGGATTATTACTCCTCAAAAGCGATCCGCCAATCGACTAAGCGATCTCTGTATAATAGCCCTCTCAACCCTTGTGAATGTTTCAGTTAAGATTCAACATTCTGGAAACAGTTGCTGAAACCCATCCACTGTGTTTAGGGAGTGAAGTTGCAGACAGACATATGCATCTTCCTGGCAATTTAAACGTTTTGAATGAAAACGTTTGTGGTTCAACCTTTTTTTTGGAACAAGATAATGCATTCCCATATAGTGACATGCCGCGGCCTGGAGGCGGCAATGTGGAATCAGCAGTCACCATGCCCAACACTGGCGCTCTGCCAGAGTCCCTGCACCAACAGCCTTTCTTCCTATTGAGCGTCTTGAGTTTGGTGAAATATTACAAGTTAGACCACAAAAATAATCTGGTCACCAGCAGCATTAGGACAACAGTAATGATGCAAAATAAAACTGTGTATGAAAGTATGAGAACTATTTGACAACAAGTCTCCCATCAGCACACAAAAGACCCAACAAACTCTTAACCACTGTTTTTTGTTGAGACACTTAATGTAATCAACAGTTTGTGGAATTACCTTGTTGTCTTTTTCCTCCCTTCCCTCTGAATGGCTTGCTCACCTATCTGTGTGTGAGGCCCTTTGCAGGAGTCACTGGCAAACCTGCCACAAGCTTTGAAACATTTAACCAGACAGCACTTGTGGTGGGGAGGCGACTTGGAATTTTACACTCTTCCAACCCCTACTTTCTGCAGGACGTGAGTGCCCACCTGGCAGGGTCAGAGCCCAGGTATACCAGCGTACATCCCAAACAAGGAACCGAATCGAGACCCAGCGCCTGAGGTTAGCACTCCCCCCAGGCAGTTTTTTTTAATATGAAAGAACTTGCATTCAGTGGCTGACAAATTAAAGCACACGCACATACGCGCTTCTAAACAGGAGTAAAAATGCTGGTGCCATATCAAAACACACAGGGCAGGTTGGAAGATTTAGATAAACCCTCACTCACTTTTCAGGCCTCCACATCGTTGGCTGAATTTCCAGTGATCTTCAATACTGTTCACTGTTTCACATATTTTTCATTTTGTCAGAAGTGAAATAAAAAGTATTGTAGGATATACCTGACAGGTCAAACCAATGCTTTGGGAAGAAAATATGCAGTTAGAAAACGTTAGGGAAATTCTTGAAACAGAACAAGTAAACAAACCCATAGCAGTTAAGAGGTTAACAAATGTATTAAAGAATCCCCCCAAAATCCCAAATATTTCACCTTGTCTGAGCAGGTGACGACTTTAAAACAAATTATGATTAATAATAATAATCCTTGCAGTTGATACAGCGCCTTATCACGTCTTTGAGACGTCTCAAAGCAATTCACAGAATATACTGTAAAGTGAATTTGACTGTGTATTTTGTGAGCGAAAAGATGTGTGGAAGTGTTTGGGAGGGGAATAGAGAAGGGCTTCAAAGCAGACCATGCACCTTCTGTTTTTTTACTTTTTTTATTTTAAACTACAGTTTAGGTCAGTGATCGTCATGACCTGGGCGTGTCGGCCACACACGTACCAGAAGACTGGGCTAAATGCTTTCTCAGCGCTCTGCGTTCAGAAAAGAAACCAATTCAGCAAAGCTGTCTGGCAGCCTCAGCCTTTTATATATTCAACCACTGACAGGCACCAAAGCACAAATGACATGACATTTATGCTGGTGGTGGTGCAATAAGAGAGTCGGCCAACTTTGAGGCCAGATGGCTGGTGAAGTTGATGTTGGGATACTCGGAGCCCAGAGAGACTTGGACATTGCACTGTTGGTGTCAGCAGGAAGGTCATAGACTTCCCATTGCGTGCACGTGTTAACAGCCAATGACTTGGGGCTCAGTCCCAGTTTCCTCTAGGTGAGTTCCATAGGTCGGAGATGAAACGCGAGAGGTATTGCAGTTAATATGGGCATCAACAGTTAAGACTGCTTTCCAGTCCTCCCCTACAACACTAAAGCACTCCATGTTCCCTAGGTTTTTTTTATTTAATTAAAAACAGTACAGTACAGCCCTTGATAAATAATATTTCAGTATGAGCATTTATCCTGGTTTCCAGGTCATTAGAACCAGCCAAAGAAGAACTTTACTGTGTTGAGTATTAGAATAAAACTTTATCCGCAGGAAAAAACAAGTTCGAAAATTGGTGATGACTTTTCTCAGCGTCATCTTAATGTCTGCATCGTGATTACAAGGCATGTATGTGCCTTTCAGCTCAGAAACACTAAAAGCTCATGGAATATGGACCCCAAGCAAAAACAGCTTTGATACCTTAAAATAAAAATCTCTGACCTAGGCAGATCAGGGAAGGACCTCTCTCCTGCCATTCGAGTGCTAACGAGGACCATGCTTAGAACTGGATTGACACTGCCAGAGCTCGTTCTGTGTCAGGCCATTTCAGATGTGGTTGTTTTGGGCTGGAGAAAAAATCTCAGAGACGAGCGAGTGGGTGGTGCTCTCACACCCAGAGCCGCCCGATCGCCCACTGCTTACACAAGGTATCACTGATTTCAAGTACTGCACAGAAGTTCCGTAATGTTTTAGTAAGGCGGTCTCGCAGTTCAATACAAAATGTTTTTTTTATATATTTCTGAAAAATCAAGGGAATCTCCCTAGCACACGACACAGAACCAGCTGGGATATACGTACGGCCTTCCAGAGATCTGTGCTGCTATCACATTGCATGACGGCAAGTGCCCGACTTTAAAGTAGTAAAATAGCTTATAAATACTTTTGTGAATTCAGTGTATCTACCGATTGAGGGGCTTGGGCCCCACCTCCTGAAAGAGTGAGGTATAAAATTCAGGCTCCAGCAGCTTGTTGCGATACTTGTTGACAATATCCGCGATCTTCTGCTTCCTCCGCACGTGGGGAGGGTTGTAGGAGTCGCTCTCCAGACGCTTCCGCCGGCAAATGTTTATAACAGTCTGTCGCACCAAGAACCCTGTAAACAAACAGACATCACTGAACTGTTACCTTCACTCTCTTCATAAAATAATATTTATTAACATTGGTGTTCAATTTGCCTCAACAGCAACCAACAACAAATTGCATTTGTAATGGAGGACATCTCAAAGTGTTTGATGTTAAAACAAAAAAACTTGGTATTGAGACCATTTAAATTATTAACTAAGACTGGTTCAGTACTAGGAGTGCAGCCAAGTGCAGACTGCCTAACTCGGAGAGTGGGATTAGATCAAGTGACCCAATGATCCCAGTGCTTCATGTCTGCGTAACATTCAACGATTCTTGGGACAGAATAGCAAAGGAGATCTTTAGGAACGAGAGAGAACAGCGCACTGAAACGTACACATCTCTCTGGTCCTCTCACAATGTGAACCCCAACAACAACAAAAAATTACATTAGTATAGCGCTTTTTTTCATCGGGAGGTGAGATCCGAGTAATAATAATCCTTGCATTTGACATATTGCCTTATCGCGTCTTCGAGATGTCTAAAAGTGCTTTACAGAATATACTGTAAAGTGAATTGACTGTATATTTTGTGAGCGAAACGCAGCAGCCAATTGCGCACAGCAGCGTCCCAGAAACAGTCGTGGATTGAGTGGCCAAATTATTATTATTTTTTTAAAAAAATTTGAAGGGATTATTATCCCTGGAAAAGTGATTCACCAATTGACTAACAACCAGGTTCCTACTCACTGTTGGTAAACAGAGGAGTGTGGAGTAAGGAAACTTGTCTAACGTTTTGTCTGACTGGGAATCGAATCCAGGACCAGGTCCTCTCGCTTGCAAGGTGAGTGCTTTAACCACTAAGCTACAGAACTCCACAAATAATTCTGTCAATGTCAATTGGGTTTCATTTACCTAAAGCTCGGCGACTTATGACCATTCCGTCCACCAGTGGGATCACCATACTGAACTTGCCGGTGGCCCCCTGCACTTTGATTCGGAAGAGGCCAGTCTTCAGGGGATGGATGAAAATGACCGGCACGTCTTTGTCTGACATGGTGGTCCTGTTAAACAAAATTCAATACAGAGTGGACCTCAGAGAATTCAACACAGAACGTCTCTCAATTCACAGGCAGAGATTCCATAAAAATATCAACGTGAATTAGAGAAAGGTAGCAAACCATGTCAGCTAACATTAATCAGAAATTATTACTATATCAATGTGGTTGTGGCACAATGCGGGTGTGCTCAACAGTAACCTCTGGGGTCCCTGGTGACGGGAAAGAGACTATAATAATCTGATTTGACACAGCGCTTTTTCAGGTCTTTGAGACGTCTCAAAGCGCTTCACAGAATATACTGTAAAGTGAATTGATTTGTGGGCAAAATGCAGCAGCCAATTGTGCACAGCAGTGTCCCACAAACAGTCGTGGTTTGAGTGGCCAAATTATTTTTATTATTATTTTTTGAAGGGATTATTACCCCCGGAAAAGCTATCCGCCAATCAACCAACTACCGGGTTCCTACCTACTGCTAGTGTGCATTTGACACTTGATGTTAAGTTCGAGACACACCTGAGAGACATGCTGCTGTTTGTAGTGTTCTCTACTCCGGTGCTGGTCTCTGGCAGAAGATCGGGAAGAGGGAAATTCTCTGGAAGAATAGAAAACCACAAGGCGAATATTAGCCCCAGCTCCAGGAAAGGGAGGCACGGTTTGACAGTTCTACAAATGAAAGGAAGTCTAGAAGGTTGGAGGCTTTAATCAGGTCAGCAGAAATACTATACTTCACCTATGTCATCAAAACGTTCCACCCACACCACGATAACCTTGGTCTCAGGTCCCAGTGGAGGGACAGTGCGCCCCAGAGGCAGCTTCTTGGCTCTCTGTGTCGGACTCATCTTCAAATATAATAGTCAGTGAAACATTATTATTGATAGAAAATCTTGAGTGACTACATTATTATTATTATTATTTTTTAAGGATTATTACCACCAGAAAAGCGATCGCCAATCGATTAACAACCGGATTCCTACTGACTGCTGGTAAACAGAGGCGTGTGGAGTAAGGGAACTTGCCCAACGCATCGCCCTGTCCGGGAATTGAACCCAAGTCCTCGTGCTTGCGAGGCGAGTGCTCTAACCACTGAGCTACAGGATGCGTGAGGACAGCAGGTACAATGTGAAGCTCACCCGCTGGGAGTTGCCGAGGCTGTCGGAATGGTTGGGGAAGAGCTCGAGTGTCAGCGGGGCCTGTTTCAGGAGGCTCGGCAGCAGATCCATCTGAGTCTCGTCCTGGGCTAGGAGCCCGCTCTCCGAGGACTCAGCTACAAACATAACACAGCAAGAGAAATGGTTTGCCAGACTGCAGGTCTGAAGGTTTTACAACAGGAACATTAAATGGACCATTATGTTTAAAAACATCAAAATAATTTACAAGCTCAGGTAAAGATGGATTAGTTTTGACCTGTAGAGAATTGAAACTTATTACAACAGGCAGCAAACTGGCAAAGTAGTTTATAATCATTGTAGTCTCAAGGACTGAATTTGTCTACAATTAGGTGTATAAGGAAGGCGTTTGGCCGACAATTAGCTGGCTTACCAGACGATTCCACAAAGGAAGGAACAACAAAGGCAATTTCAGTCAAGGCATCAGCATAATACAGCACCTTCCTCTCCCCATTAAATATGCCTCCTCCAGAGTCTTCAGGGGTCATTACCTCCTCTAGAAACACAAGGTGCAAAGTTATTAGAAGGTTGTAATGCAGGTCAGAATCGGCAAGGACAAACGCAGCATTTTACAGAAGGCTGTTTAGTGGAAAGGATGGATTGTTTTCACTCTGTGTGATCCTCTGTGTACTCCTGGGCTACCATTATACACTTGGAGGAGATGAGACATTGGCTCAAGGCTGATGGGGTGAGGAGTGGGGTGTGGCAGGGGAGTTGGTGCTGCCCCTAACAGAGCCTCGAATTAACTGGAAACTTAAGTATAAACACTGAAGACTGAAAAATGGTACAATAGACCCCCAGATTCCTATGTAAAATAATAATAATTCTTGCATTTGATATAGCACCTTATCACGTCTTCGAGACGTCTCAAAACGGTTCACAGAATATACTGTAAGGCGAATTTTGTAGGCGAAACACAGCAGCCAATTGTGCACAGCAGTGTCCCACAAACAGTCGTGGATTGAGTGAACAAATTGTTATTTTTTTAAAGGAATTATTACCCTGGGTAAAGCAATCTGCCAATCGACTAACAACCGGGTTCCCTCTTATCGCTAGGTAAACATAGGCGGGTGGCAATTTGCCCAACAGTTTGCCCTACCCGGAAATCAAACCCAAGACCTTCTGCGTACGAGGCGATTGCTTTAACCACTGAGCTACACGAATGAGAAATATATTCTAGCTGAGGAATGTTCTGTTTCACTGAGTGAAAGTGACCTTTAAGCGCTCCAGGACGCAAATGCAAGTTGTTGTTGTTGACAAACGGGATGCAGTGACAGAACTCCATTGCTACCTGGTTCGTTCCCCTCGTGTCCGTTATATGTGTTAATCAGCCAGCTGGTTGACACATGTCCAGTCCAGCCAGGATGCTTCCCTACATCCACCGGCCATCCCAATGACAGGAGGAACTCCAGGAAATGAGCCTGCACGTTGCTGGAGGATTCTACATTCCTAAGAATCTGCAGAAACCAAAAATAAGAGTTGAGGTCTTCCGAGGCCAAAATAAACACTGTTTGTTTCAGTGTCGATGTTGATCTGGAGACATTCACAATGCACAGAATATATTATATATGGCAAAGTATACGGTGAAATTGAGGCAGAATCTATATTAGCTTCCCAGAGGGAACTGGACAGTTACCTAAAAAGGTGAATATGGGAACAGGAGCTTCTTTCGCTCTTCTATAAGATCATGGCTGATCTGTATCTCAACTCCAATTACCTGCCCTTGCCACATATCCCTGACCTAACAAATATCTATCACCTTAGTCTTGACAATGTGAATGGATCCACAGCCTTTTTGGGGGAGAGAGCTCCAGATTTCCACTGCCCTTTGGGTGAAAAACTACCCCTGATTTCACTCCTAAATGGCCTCACTCTAAATTTAAGATTATGAGGGTTTATGGGGAAAAGACAGGGAAACAGCACAAATCTTTTTTATGGTTCTAACCTTGAATCCTACTTGAAATCCTTCACGTCTATTAAATCCAATTCAGCAAAAACAATTCTTAATCACAAGTCTAAGTTATCTTTGCTGGTAGTTTTTCTAATTGCCTTGTTCCTTTTATATTAAACTTCCCTTAAGCAACCCTGCCCGAAACACTTCTGTGACATTCCGCCCCCCCACCCCTTTCATAAATCCTGAAGTTTACCTCTTGACTGGTTTTCTGGCCGGCTTTCATGTAAAACACAAAGACGGTTTCAAACGGTCGGCAAGGCAGCAAGTCCAAGTAGCCAATGTCATCAAAAAAGCCAGCCAGTGTGGAGTCAAGTGCGATAAGGTGAGGAGGTAGGCGGCTGTTACCTGGTTCCTGGGGATGAGAAAACACAGTGACATAGAACCACGGGGCGTGGGGAGTGGGCAGAGAATGGGTGGGAGAGAATTGCAATGTGCTGGAAGGTAAATACATGTATACATGACTCCTTAACTGTGTCACTCTGTAGCTTAAGATGTGACTGTATTCTTGACATCACAAATGAAAATGGGTCGATGACAGTAACACACTTAAGTATTTACTTAAGTATTTACTTTACAGTAACACACTTATAGTATTTACTTAATATACAACAGAATTTGAGTAAATCGTTAATCACAGACAATGCACTCACAGAATCTCTTACATATCTTAAAGCCTCGTAAAAAGAAACAAACACAGAAATGTACCGCAGTCCAAACAGAGCCGGCGATGCTCTCTGGTCTGAGTGAAAAGCCTTGAACACAAAATCTCAATTTACCTTCAAAGCTTCGAGAGAGAGAAAGCCAAAGTGTGAAAGAAAAAGACGAGCTGTCTGGAACTCCTGGGCGGGAGGCGGGGGGATGCATTCGGTGATGGGGTCGGGGAACGTAGTGCTGCAAACTCTTTCCTCGCTCATTTTCTCAAGCGAGTTCTCAAAGAGAATTTGTTGGGCCATCACATTCTTCAGCTTCTCGTGCTGAATTTCCAGCTGTAAGAGATGGGACTTTGGTTAGAACTCATACATAACTGTCTGAACTAAAGTGTTCTTCAGTGCTTAGCAAACCACCAGCTGCCATAAAACGTGATAACTGGAAAGAGAATGGAACTAAAAGCCACTTACAATTTAAACCAGACAGACGTACTATCCACACAATAAATAGTTAATGTTTTGTGACAGATTTAAATCCTAATATTCCCTGGAGATCTCACATTTACTTGTTCTACAAAGGAACAGGAGGAGGCCATTTAGCCCCTAGAGCCTGTTCCTCCATTCTATAAAATCATGGCTGATCTGTACCTCAACTCCAATTACCCGTCCTTGACTCGTATCTCTTAATATCCACAGCCTTTTGGAGGAGAGAGTTCCAGATTTCCAGTCCCCTTTGGGTGAAAAACTGCCCCTGATTTCACTCCTAAATGGCCTGGCTCTAATTTTAAGATGATGCTCCATGATTGGCTTTTGCTCTGAACCTGTTTTTCAGATTCAAAACAGCACCAAGCCTGGAAGAGAGAACATTAATGTTCAGATTCTATGAAAGAAAGAAAGGCTTCTGTTTAATTGTCAAAATCAGTCAGTTAGAAACTAGTCAGAAAGAGAGCATTTCACTTGCGAGCGCCCTAGAGGGAATAAATTAACTGAAATCCAAGGTTGGCGCTTAACCTACATACACTGGCTCATACCTACCTCATCAGTCACAATCTCGTGCAGATCCGGAATGCTTAGGTCAGCTTTCACAAAGGGAATTTTGTCCACTTCCTCCGGGAACGGCCGGTGTTTGACGTTGTATTTAATTCCCACGTTGTTGTTTGGAGCGGGGGAAGGTTCGGGAACAAATGCCTGTGGATAACATGAGAAATTATAATCTACTTTCTAAACGCACAAGAAACAATTCCACGTATCATACTTAGGGAGTCACCAATAAAGGCTTTGGTTAAAACACTAATTCAGAGACAGCAATTGCCATATTAGTATGTGGTACTAAACACAGCACAGGCTTAATGGGCCAAATGGCCACCTTCTGTGCTGCTCTATGGTTCTAGTTTAACAGACGAGTGACTGCATGAACACTGCACAGACTATTTAACATTTCAGGCAACACTCAGTGTAAAACCATCTGCAGGGTATTTGCAGGTTCAATTACCTGATGTTGAGCACAACCATGTGCTGTTGAATAATAATTCGTCCATTTGATACAGCATCTTATCAAATCTTCGAGTCTCAAAACACTTCACAGAATACACTGTGAAGTGAATTGACTGTATATTTTGTGGGCGAAACGCGGCAGCCAATTGTGCACAGCAGCGTCCCACAAACAGTCGTAGATTGAGTGATCAATATTTTATTATTATTATTAAATTATTTATTTTTTTGGAAGGGTTGTTACCCCCAGAAAAGTGATCCGCCAATCGACTAACAACCAGATTCCTACTTACTGCTGGTAAACAGAGGTGTGTGGAATAAGGAAACTTGCCCAAAGTTTCATCTTGCCCGGGAATCGAACCCGGGTCCTCTCGCTTGTGAGGCGAGTGCTCTAACCACTGAGCTGCAGGACTCCATGTTGCTGTATCTGCTGTCCTGTTGTTGTGAAGCTTCTTGAGATGAAGGGGCTATCAGAAGCTGATGTAGTTGTTTTACCTGACAGTACAGAGGGGTGCACTGCGCTCTAACCTTTTGGCTGGCTCGGGAACCCCTGGGTTGGTGGTACAGCTGCATGGTCCACGCGTGCCTCCCAGACATTCCTCGGATCAGAACCGTAACAGAAGGGCAAGGATCTGTCGGAAAATGGAAGACAAACTGGAATAATCTACAGGACGTGCTCTGGAAAGTGCTAGCTACAAAAATCATATCCTTGAGCAAGAATAATAAATAATGATAATATGTCCCTGCATTTGGTACAGCACCGATAACTATCACAGGTGGCAGCAGGTGTGAAATGTCTCTGGACAGGTTGTGTCCACAGCACACACTGTAGCGCCTTGACCAATTTAGACATTACTTAGTGAGCTGAGGGATTGCCAATCTCCTAGTCTGCAGCTCACACAGAAATAGGACCACAAGCACTTCAGTGATACGTACATTTACAGCATAGAAGGAAGCCATTCGATGCATCATGCCTGTGGACCATAGGAACAGGAGGAGGCCATTCAGCCCCTGAAGCTTGTTCCACCATTCTATAAAATCATGGCTAATTTGTACCTCAACTCCAAATACCCGCCCTTGCCCTACATCCCTTGATACCCTGACCTAACAAACATCTATCCACCTCAGTATTGTGCTGGTACTCACTCCCTCACAGACACCACCTAGAGGAACAATCTATTGTTCCCAAGTTGTCCAATTGAACTCTGTGCTCTTAGCTACTCTGATAACAGACAGAAAGTACACGCTGCCCCAGTGCCCACACTGAGCGGGAGATGGCCACTCACTCTGATCGTTGCCCAGGGGCTGTTCTAGCATTGCTATGATGATGCTGTTATCCAGAACAAAATAACGGAAGTGATTTTTGCTGGTTGAGGTCAGCCGGGAGTATTTGATGAGCGTCTCTTCATTGAGGAGGCTGCAGGGCGAAGCAGGACCACTAGGAGAGGGGAACGCCCCAAGTAACTGCATTATACTGGGGAGCAAAGCACAGGAAACGTCTTGTATTTACAATGTGTTAAGAACAATACTTATCTTCCAACCACTCCTCTACAGGCAGGAGTGTCCGAGCAGAGTTACAGAGTGTATGTCCAGACACAACTGGGTTACAAACTAAACTGAAAATCTCTTAAGTGAACCTCCCAATCCTCCAATTCCAACTGAGAACAGACTGATGGTTACTTGATCAGAGATTGCATTGCCTGGCATTGTAAAGCCACCAAGCTGCCCGATAAGCAATTGTCATAATAATAATAATCCTGGCATCTGATATAGCGCCTTATCACGTCTTTGAGACATCTCAAAGCGCTTCCCAGGATATACTGTAAAGTGAATTGACTGTATTTTGTGGGCGAAACGTGGCAGCCAATTGTGCACAGCAGTGCATGTCCCACAAACGGTCATGGATTCAGTGACCACATTTTTTCTTTAAAACAAAGGGATTATTACTACTGGAAAACAATCCCCCAATCAACTAACAACCGGGTTCCTACTTACTGCTATGTAAACAGAGGTGCGCGGAGTAAGGAAACCTGCCCAACGTGTTGCCCTGCCTGGGAATCACATCCAGATCCAATCACTTTGCGAGGCGAGTGCTCTAATCACTAAACTATGTTATGCTTAATCTGTACAAAACACTGGTTAGGCCTCAGCTGGAGTACTGCGTCCAGTTCTGGGCACCTTACCTCAGGAAGGATATTAAGGCACTGGAAAGGGTGCAGAGGAGATTCACGAGAATGATACCAGGAATGGGGAACCTTAGCTATGAGGACAGGCTGGAAAAGTTAGGACTTTTCCCATTAGAGCAGAGAAGGTTACGCGAGGACCTGATAGAGGTCTTCAAGATCATGAAAGGTTTCGACAGGCGAGATAGGGAAAAGCTGTTTCCGCTGGTAGGTGTGTCTGTGACTCGTGGTCACAGTCTTAAGATATCTACCAAAAGAAGCAGAGGGGAGGTTAGAAGAAATGTTTTCACTCAGCGAGTTGTTAGAATTTGGAATGATCCGCCCGAAAGGGCAGTGAAGTCCGATTCGATAACAGCTTTTAAGAGAGAACTGGACAGGTATCTGGAGAAGACAGGTTTGCAGGGTTATGGGGAGAAAGCTGGTGATTGGGGTTAGTGAAAGTGACGCTCTGTCAAAGAGTCGCACAGACTCGATGGGCCGAATGGCCTCCTTCTGTGCCTTAACATTCTATGAATCTATGAAACTACAGGATTCCACTGTACAGGTCTTACCAGGTGAGTGCAGCCTCCGCAGCATCCTTCACCCTCATGGAAGCAGGATTGAGCTCCTTATCACCTTTGTACCGAACCTCCAGATCACTGGTTTTAGACTTGCTCCCGGAGATTCCCAGTTCCACGATCTCCAGCACCTCGATCAGGCAATCCTGAGACAACAGGAAGAAAGCAGCACTGAAAAAAATCAGCACATTTTTCAGCAAAGGAGCTGAAAAGCCTTTCTCTGTTTACCTCCTCTCAATGAGAATGAAATGTTCCCTCACTCTGGGTGTTTCCATCTTATCTTTGATAAACTAGGTGTTCAACAGGGGCTGCAGTAAGACTGGAGGTGCAAAATATGACACAATCTCCTGCAGGTGGTTTAGATGGAATGAGGAGGCTCCATTTGTGGGTCACCATGAAATCAAGGCCCTGCTCTTCTTCCCAATTACCTTTTCATCAGGCCGGATTGGTGGGGGCAGGGGATAAGCGAAGTAGATTAGGGAAAAAATACAACAAATGAAGCACAATCCTCCAGTGTAACTAAAGGAAAAACAAGCAGGACATTCAACTCCTGCAAAATAACAGGGAACATCAGATAGAGCTCATTAAGGCATAGCCTGTATGTACCTTTTCGTTCAGCATGTCTGGGTGTTCGGTCAGCCACACACACAGGCACTGAAAGGCTGCCACAATCATGGAGTGTAGATCCCGTGAGTGAAAGGGGGCTGGGCGGCTGCACTGGTAAACGATGTAGCCACAGACAGAACTAACCGCACGCTTCCGGTCTGTGGATTCCACAGTCACCTTCACCTATTGGACAAAATAATAATAATCCTTGGTTCGATATAGCGCCTTATCGTGTCTTTGAGATAATAATAAAGTCTCAAAGCGCTTCACAGAATTTACTGTTAAGTGAATTGACTGTATATTTTGTGGGCGAAACATGGCAGCCAATTGCGTACAGCAGCGTCCCACAAATAATCGTGGATTGAGTGACCAAATGACTGACTGACTGTCTGTCTATCTATTTATTAAGGAAACTTGCCCAACATTTCGCCCTACCCGGGAATAAAATCCAGGTCCTCTCTCTTGTGAGGTGAGTGCTCTAACCACTGAGCTACAGAACTCCACATGTACACAAAACTTTCCCCTCTCAGTCAGATCCCTTATCTGTGAACTAGGGCAGATCTGCCCAAGTGCAGACAACAAACCAACCCAGAAATAACTATTGCAGAGTTTGGATTATTTCCTCAAGGTTCAGGTAAGTGACAGCAGCAGCATCCTCTGGGCTGAGGGAAGGGGAGGGTGACATAAAGGAAATAATGTGGACTCGGCCCAAATTGTTGTAAGGAAATTCTCAGGATGCTTGTGCTTTCCTGCTGTCTTGTGCAACTCATATTTTGTGCACTGACTGCCTCAGTCACTGGTCCTGAAGGTCACACCTTCACTCTAGTCTGTCAAATATTTCATTACAAGCATTTGAAATGATCACAAATGTATTTGCTCAAATTCAGATGTTTCACTCAGACATCTAGATACAAATGCAATTATTCTTATCTTGATCACATTGAAATGCAAATCCAATTGCACTTAGATGCAGTGGATCCAGGTCTGTTTTAATGCTTCAATCTGCACGAATCTCCACTCCCCAATCCCCCCAGTCCTGGCCAGACTGCACCGGCCGCCTGTCCCAGAGAGGATCGACTTCAAGATCCTCACCCTTGTATTCAAGTCCCTGCACTCCTCTGCACCACCCGACCTCTCTGACCTCCTCTCTCCTCACAACAGTACCCGTTGCCTTCGTTCCTCCGGGTCTGCCCTCCTCCTCATCCCCAGAGTCCTCCACTCCACCCTCGGTGGCTGTGTCATCAGCCACTATGCCCCGAGGCTCTGGAACTCCCTTCCTCACTCCCTTTGTCTTGTTCCCTCCCTTCTCATTTTCAGGTCTCTGCTGAAGACCTTTCTTTCCGACTGCGCCTTTGGTCACCTTCCTCCCCCTCCCCTGGCTCCTCCCCCTCCCCGGCCCCTCCGCCTCCCCCACCCCGCCCCCGGCTCGGCCCCGGGCTCCGTTACTGTGAAGCTCTGAGACGCCATCCGGCGTGGAGAGCGCTATATAAATCCAAGTTGTTGTTGTTGCTACCAGAGAGTTTAAAGTCTCCAGAAATAATACTAATCCTTGCATTTACATGGTGCCTTATCACGTGTTCGAGACACTTCAAAACATTTCACAGAATATACTGTAAAGTGTAGTGACTGTGTATTTTGTGGGCGAAATGCGGCAGCCAATTGCACACAGCAACACACAGAAATCTCATACATACACCCTGCAGCCGCTCCTGTGTAACACTGAAAGATACAGTTCACATACAATTTAAAATATTGAACACAGAAGAACTTTGAATGGCTTTACCTTGGCCAGGCCAGACAGCAGCTCGAGCGCTGCCAACGAGATGCTCATGTCCTGTCTCCACTGCGAATTCAGCCTCTGTGTTACCAAATGGATACTGCGGATCAGGAGTCCCGACGCTGTATCTGTATGAAGAGCTATGATATAACCCCAAAACCACACAACACAGGGGAGGGAAAACAACTAAGCATTAGTAACTACGAGCAAAGCAATCAAAACAAGCACAAGCTCACAGCCCATGCAGCCAGAACAAGCAATCAAATCCAAAACTGCCTCACCTCAGTGACAACAAGGCTGTGTCACTTTAGTGGCTATTATTGTTAGTGTTCGTGTTAGAATCAAAAGAACTGAGTCTTCATATGAACAATGTGTGTGGTGGTGGGGGGGGATAAGCATAATAATAATCCCTGCATTTGGTATAACGCCTTACCACACCATTGAAACATTTCAATGTGCATCGCAGGATTTACTGAAAAGTGGTTTCTGTGTATTTTATGGATGAAATGTGAAAGTCCCACAAATTGCCATGGAGTGAGTGACCAAGTTTATTTGGGAGATTGTTGGCCAGGACGTGGGAGAGAGAAACTCCCTTCTCTTTTCCAACAGTGCCACAGGATCTTTAATGCCCACCTGAACAGGCAGACAGGGCCTCGGTTTAACATCTCATCCGAAGGACAGCACCTCCGACAATGCAGCGCACCCCCAGTGCTGCACTGGAACGTCAGTTTAGATTATGTGATTGTGACTCAGAGACAAGAGCGCGACCACTGAGCCAGGCTGATACACTGACCACTGTGAGGACAAGCTGCAGACCATCTCTGCAGCTTGTCCTCACCATCTGCCCCGAGGAGATGAACAGCCCAGTCTCTCCTCAGCCTTTGCCTGCCCTGCTCTGAAATGCCCATTAGGTGGCGCACAATTATAGCAACAGAAACTGGCACTCAAGCCTCGATGGAAGAGACCAGAGGCACAAATCAGTGGCCGGCGGCCTCTCGGAGCCTGCATCACTGAGCCTGAGTGATCTTAGTAAAAGAGTCTCCCTCATTCTTATTAGAATATTCTTTTCACTGGACAGTGCAGGGGGAGGGACAGGACAGCATGTGATGGAAGTTTGCTAAGTCAAACAATTGACAGGCTGACTAAATTGCCCTGAATGAATACACACATCAGTTTATATGCAGACTCGCATCAATAAGCAAAGGGAACTTTAAAGGCACCGTTCAGAAGGCAGAAGTAACAAAGTGATGGTAAATGATTGTGGAAAGTGTGCCTCATTACATTTTTTCAGGAGTTTCAGTAGTTTCAGCTCACAACAGCGGGCTTTGAACGTGGAAATTTAACATTAAAACAACAAATTTCAAAAAAGTTAACTTCCCAAAGTGGCTTTAACTCCCCCCCCCCCCCACCCCACTCTCTCTCAATCGTGGGCTCGGAATTAGACATTGTGACAAATTTAACAGCAAGCTGACAGAGTAAGGATGGTGAATAAAGTCTTGGCTGCATGGCTCAGCACGCCAGCGCATTTGTGCTCTGAGCCACGGGCTGGGGGGGTGGGGGGGTGAGAGCACGAGAGTGGCGAGAGAGAAGAAAGTAACATTTGCATGCTAATAAACGTTTCTGCCATGAAGAGAAGTGAGTGCTGGGCCATACTGAAAGCCCTTCGCATTCCACACCTCGAGCTGAACAGCCTTTTCAGTTTTGCAGCTAGCCAGCAGGAGCCAACAAGCACAGAATCAATCTTAAATTCAATTACTCAGCAGACATTTAGCACCATATCGTATTAGTGAAATAAAACTATTAGCAGAGCTCAGTAATAATCTGTTTGACATCCAGACCACATTGAATATTTGTCGCATATATGCTGCAATAATAATAATCCTTGCATCTGATATAGAGCCTTATCACGTCTTTGACACGTTTCAAAACGCTTCACAGGATATACTGTGAAGTAAATTGACTGTATATTTTGCGGGCGAAACGCGGCAGCCAACTGTGCACAGCAGTGTCCCACAAACAGTGGTGGGGAAGATGGGGCAATTCTGATGGAACAGTGATGTTGTCTCACTGACTGGCAATTGGAGACATAAAATAAACTGAACACTTAAAGCAAATGGTGCTAAAAGTCATTTCTGCAAGAATTTAAATTGATTATGAATAGTTTACAGGACACACAAATACCTGCAACACCTATTGGGAAAAGAGACATACAAAAACAAAGAACAAAGTTAACTTAATAACATGCAATGCTTTATAGTTTACAACACACAGTTGGCAAGTTAAAAACACGCTCATGGTAAACATTCACAGAACTTATACCAAAATGCCAAACTCTAAGAACCAAACACAAAGCTTTTAGTACATCTAAAGCAAAACAAGGCGGAAAAGTAAATAAGCCAAGGGCAACAGCAATCCAGGGAAGGCTTCTGAGAGATCAGAATCATTATTCAGTTTCCAGCGTTGACTAATAGTAATAATAATCCTTGCACTTGACACAGCGCCTTATCATGTCTTGAGACGTCTCAAAGCGCTTCAGAGGATACACTGTAAAGTGAATTGACTGTATATTTTGTGGGTGAAACTAATTGAAGCAATAAAATGGCTTGAAAAGTAAACCCTTGAAACTATTTGTACTCAATACTGTTTAAAGCCAGGGCAGCTGTGGAAGACGCATTTTCAAAACTTTTCAAAACAAGTGACTGAGTACAGAATACAGTGTATACAATAAACCTTCTAATTTATAGATCAAAACACTGCACACTGCGGTGCAGGGCAACTCCTTTTCACGATTGCTTCCAGGGAAACATTCTACTAATCACTCTCCTGTTCACAAACTGAATAGTGTCCAACTCCTTCAAGAAGCCTTTACCACAACATGAGTGGCTTGACATCTTCCATCACGTCATCCTCGGCTCCAAAAAGATTTTGCCCTACTTTTTTTGGTGGGGCGTGGAGGTTTAAAAACTGATTTTAAAATGCAGGCAACTCTTGTTTTGAAATTTCAATCAGTTAATTTTTGTAAGGGGGAGGGGGGGGCGAAGATAAAAAAAAAACCTGCAGGCTTACTCGCAGAACAAATACAAAAAGAACACAGCAGCATGTACAAACCACAAGCATATTTACACACACAGACAATGATGATACACTGGGAAATTCTGCCCTAAAATAGACTTGGGCAAGTCAACACATACTGTATATAGGCGATTTCTATCTATTTATCTCTTGATAAGGGTCCTCTTCAATATATTTGAGAGTTTGGAGGGAGAAATTAATGTTGTTACAGAAAGCATGGCTCTATACTGTAAGTAGTGCTCTTTCCCAACAGCACAGTCACCGATTTAAGAATACACTAACCATCAATGAGCATTGCACAAAATTGTTCTAACATTGCCCTTATAGTAAAATTTGTCCTTTTTTTAAAAAAAAGTGGGTTTTGGTGGTATCTTGGTACCAAAATACTTATAAAAAGAACAGAGTTGGCGTGGAGTGTTCCGAGCTGTTAAATCATTATTAATAATAATCCTTGCATTTGATACAGTCCCCTGTTACGTTATCAAAATGTATCAAAGTGCTTTGCATGATCAGCATCTCCTAAACAGTAGTTGTAGACTTTAATAGTTTCATCATTTAATAATATAAAATATTGCAAAGTTTCCTGGCAATTTCCTAACAGTTAGAGAAAGGAGTTCTGGTACTCGATTTTAGATAGAACTTCATACTGAAGCTGCTGTGAATTAGCCCTTTATCTTACTTTAAACTCAGGCCTGTAAATGTGGGCCCTAAAACACAAACGTACATTTACGTGGTACCTTTTATGTCTAGAGGACAAGCTGCACGTAAAGCTCATGATATTTACAGACTGAAGCTGGACTGGAGGCAAGGCTAGTAGATCTGCAAACTGATCTATGGATTCCCAGAACCCTAAATGCTGTATGAATCAGGTTTGAATGTTCTGGAAGAGGAGGGAACTATAGCTTTACGAGTCTTAGAAGTTGACGAATTGTAATTGTAAACGTGAGGAGTGGGTGTGAGTGTGCGAAGCGAAGTTTATACATCTCACCATAATCCCTGAGGAGGGCCTGCGCAGGTCTTTCGCTGTCTGGGGTAGTGGCCTCAGAGCTGCCGGTGCTGGTCAGACTGATGCCACTGCTGTTGCGACTGTGACTCTTGAGTGACACATGTGTGCTGTCACCGACACTCTGGAAATGGAGTCAACATACACTTGAGGGGTTGCAGGCACCTCATTGTACATATGTAACATATATGCACATGGGGTTAAACATCACATTGCTCGTAAGAACATGAAATTGGAAATGATAGAAAGCATTCTCAGTAACTGGTAATTAATGCCTATGTGTGGTTTCAAAATGGCTGGTAATGACTAAAACAAACTAGTCAGAAACAAATGTGATGTGGACATGTAATAAGAATAATAATCCTTGCATTTGATACAGCGCCTTATCATGTCTTCAAGATGTCTCAAACACTTCACAGAATATACTGTGCGAATTGATTGTGGGCAAAACGCAGCAGCCAGTTGTGCACAGCAGTGTCCCACAAACAGCCCTGGATTGAGAGACCAAATTATTATTATTTTTTATATTATTTATTTATTTGAAGGGCTTATTACCCCTGGAAAAGCGATCTGCGGACCGACTAAAAACAGGTTCCTACTTACTGCTAGGTAAACAGAAGCATGTGGAATAAGAACGTTTCATTTCACTCTGCCCAGGAATTGAACCCAGGTCCTCTCACTTGCAATGCAAGTGCTCTAGCCACTAAGCTACAGGAATCCACATTTAATGATTAATACATTGTATGCTTAAATAGCCGTGTTACTGCCTCAAAGTCATACTGAACTCACAATCAAACTGAGCCACAACAAATTAAATCTAATTCATGACAATCACACAAGATTGTAAAGCAGCTTACCAGTTCAGTCTGAGAACCGATAGCTTCTAAAAGAGCAGAATCTTCGACAATGTTTAACATGGCACCTGGAAGCAAACAGCAGTTTTCTGGTAAATAAATGTAAGCAACTCAAATGTTCATACAGTAGAGCGAGCCTGATAGCAGACAAACAAATGCCAGGCTTATACTTGACTAAGGTCTACTGCTTGGTAAAACAGTAAAATGGAATTTCATGCTTTAACTAACGATGCATTTAAATCTTCTCATGTGGATTATAAAAACATCCATTTGCTGAGAATGATCAATAAAATGCGTAATGCTTCCCTGCTGTGAAGCCCTGCGATATATATCTATGTGTGAAAAAAACTGTTCACCTGTCTGTGCAAAAATAGCTTTTCGGTCTCATTAATAATAATAATAATAATAATAATCCTTGCATTTGATATAGCGCTTTTCACGTCGGGAGGACGTCCCAAAGCGCTTCACAGAATAGACTGTAAAGTGAATTGACTGTATATTTGTGGGCGAACGCGGCAGCCAATTGCGCACAGCAATGTCCCACAAACAGTCGTAGATTGAAAATGACCAATTTATTATTGTTTTGTTTTGTTTTGGAGGGATTATTATTAGGCTCTGTGTGGAGTAAGGAAACTTGCCCAAGGTTTCGCCCTGCCTGGAATTGAACTCAGATCTCTCGCTTGCAAAGCGAGAGCTCTAACCACTGAGCTACAGGACTCCACCTGTCTGTGCAAAATAGCTTTTCGGTCTCATTAACACCATCACAGCAGTTGCACACTGAGTCTACTGTTAATACAAGTTAATAGAGCCAATCTCTTCATCTCGAGAAAGTGGCGCTGCAGGATAAATCATCGTCATTGCTTGGGTTTAGGAACATAAAAACAGGATTAGGCCATTCAGCCCCTCGAGCCTGTTCCGGCAATCCATAAAATGACGGTTGATCTGTACCTCAACTCTTGATATCCTGACCTAACAAAACATCTATCCACAAAAGGCAAAGCTCTGACGAAAGGTCATCAACCTGCAATGTTAACTCACTTTCCTCTCTCCATAGATGTTGCCTGACTTACTGTGTGTTCCCGGCGACTTCTATTTTTATTTAACATTTATCCACCTCAGTCTTGAAAACTTGAATGGAAAACTTGAAAGGGTTTAATTAACCCCTTTCACAAGAACAAATGCAAAAAAGTCTGGAACAAAAAGCATTCGGCCCATTAAGCTTCGTTCTTCCATGCAATGTGCACAGCATCCCATCATGGACTCTTTCTTGTCCATGCTCTATCCATTTGCCAAAGCTCTACCTCAGGCATTACTGAGTATGTGGCTATCTCTGCCCATCAATACATACAAATCAATTCCCTTTCCTCAAGATGCTTTTCCAGTTCTGGCTACATTCGCACTCCCTGGGCAGGGAACTCAACTACAATGCAGAGCCTTCACTGACGCAGCTGAGAACCCAGATTCAGCTCAGATCAGGGATACAATCAGGGAGCCCTTCCTGGTCTCCACAGCTCATATACCATAAGTATATCTAGTGTTGTGGTTTAATTACACAAGGTGCTTGACTTGCCTTCAGGAAACAAAAGAAAAAATATGGATATTACAGTTCACATCCAGCACCAAAACCAGGACTTTCCCCCCTAAAACACAAATGTGTTTTGACAAAATAGCTGAGCATTTAAAGCTGATTCATTTCAACGAATATCATTGCTCCCTCTGCTTCTTGTCACTGGTAATATGCTGGTGTGATCAATAGCATTGGAAAATAGGAACAGGAGTAGACCATTCAGCTTCTTGAGCCTGTTCTGCCATTCTGTAAGATCACGGCGGATCTGTACCTCAACTCCAATTATCTGCCTTTGCCCCATATCCCTTGATACCCTGACCTAACAAATACCTATCCACCTCAGTCTTGAAAGTTTTAATGGATCCAATATCCATAGCCTTTTGGGGGAGAGAGTTCCAGATTGACAGAAAATGATTGGAGCTTTGATGACTACACCAAATAGAGGCATCACATAAAGAGGATTTTCTGCGAATTAGAAGCTACTACAAACCTAGGATCATCTGGGTGTTGTTGGGGTCGGTTTCAGTCTGCAGAGCTCCGATCAGCACATTGACTAGCCTCAGCTTCAGGGACAGGAATGTAACGGGCTTGTCGTGTGACAGCAAGTCCTCATTGCTGAACTTCCCTTCCAACAGCACCTGGAGACAGAGGAAGGGGAACACGTAGGAACAGCACTGATATTTTATCACTGACTGGTTATTTTATTCACTTTCCCCTTCCCCCCCTCTCTAGACTCTCAGTAGAGCAGATGAGGGAGTGGAGGACGAGTTCCCAAGCCCCTGGTTATTGCCACTCAAGCTGTGAGGGCACAGTCTCAGGAGACATCACTTCTCCATGGATGGCGGGTGTCTGCATTGAACAAACTATCCCTGACTGGCTCAGGACCTCCCAAAGTAGGAAACTGTGGTACACAAAAAACACCAAGTGGCATCCACACACACTCAGTCACAGACGTTAGAGAAGTACAGATCAGCCACAATCTAATAGAATGGTGGTACAGGCTCGAGGTGCTGAATGGCCTCCTCCTGTTCCTATATTCCTAAATTGTCATTGCTAAACTTATGGAAGAAAAGAATGAAATTCCACATTACATTTCAGACAAAAGGGAAATGTCCCCATGTGGGTGGAACTGGGTCTGGTTTGGATACTCAAGCACGGTGCTGTGTTCTGCACCTGAACTGTAGCAATTTTGTTTTGAAAAACATGAATGAATGCTACCTCTGCTTTAACAGTCCCAAAGTGGTGCGGGAGGGGCAGCATTGAGAGAAGGATATGGATTGATGCTCTCCTAAGGTCGGTGGGATTCACGTAAGCCTTGAATTTAGACAGTTCTCTGTGAAAGAAGAAAAACCCTTTACAGACAGCTCTTCAGTTCCTCGTTATTCAAACCCCAGCGCAGGAGACACACAATAATAATAATAATCCCCGCCTTTAATGCAGCGCCTTATCAGGTCTTCGATACGTGTCAAAGTGCTTCACAGAATATACTGTAAAGTGAATTGACTGTATACTTTTGCGGGCGAACACGGCAGCCAATTGCGCACAGCAATGTCCCACAAACAGTCGTGAAGTGACCAAATTATTATTTTTTAAAATGTATTTATTTGAATGGATTACCACTGGAAAAGCGATCCACCAATTGACTAACAACGGGGTTCCTACTTACTGCTAGGTAAACAAAGGCGTGTGGAGTAAGGAAATTTGCCCAACGGGTTTCACCCTGCCCGGGAATCAAACCCAGGTCCTCTCGCTTGTGAAGCGAGTGCTCTAAGCACTGAGCAGTAGGAGGCGAGTGCTCTAACCACTGAGCTACAATGACTTTATGCACTACAATACCCTCCAACTAACACCTGCTGTTAAGCAGAGCACAAACCACTATCAATCCCAGCAAACTCACCGGTCAGGCAATATCGTCTCCAACGCTGAAATGAAATAGGGAACAAGAACATCGATACCCTTCAGGTCGGAGCAGAACAATGACGGGGAGTTCAGGATGATACTCGCCAAAACAGGTCGACATATGTAATCGTTTATTTGCAGCCCTTGGGTCAGTACCATGTAGAACCTGCGGCAAAAACAGGTGACATTTTCATTTGTAAAGTAAACAAAACAGTTAATTTCACCTCGCACTTTAGATTTTGTTTTCAACAGAAAAGGCTTTTGAGATGGGAAAGAAAACTGCAGTCATTTCTAAGCAGTGGAGCCCTGTAGCTCAGTGGCTAGAGCAATTGACTCGCTACCAAGAGGACCTGGGTTTGATTCCTGGGCTGGGCAAAACTTTGGGCAAGTTTCCTTACTTCACACACCTCTGTTTACCTAGCAGCAAGTAGGTACCCGGTTGTTAGTTGATTTGCAGATCGCTTTTGACTGTATATTTTGTGGGCGAAACGTGGCAGCCAATTGCACACAGCAATGTCCCACAAACAGTCGTGTATTGAGTGACCAAATTATTATTATTTTTTTGAAGGATTACCCTGGAAAAGCGATCCGCCAATCGACTAACAGCTGGGTTCCTACTTACTCCTAGGTAAACAGAGCGTGCGGAGTAAGGAAACTTGCCCAACATTTTGCCCTGCCCGGGAATCGAATGAGGTCCTGTCACTTGCGAGGCGAGTCCTCTAACCACTGAGCTACAAGACTTCACGATGCTGATGATGAATGGAAAAGTTCCTACATTGAGGCATTCAGCAATGGAGCCAACCAGACTTTTATTGTTACACCACAGTTAACGACTGGAAAGAGCAGTGAGTACCTGGAAAGGTAGACTGGCAGGATCTCCTCCCCAGTCTTCTTACTACAGAAGATTCTGCAAAGTGTTCCGCAGGCCTCAGCCCTGCCTGCCTCATAGTTATCAGGAAACTCGTTGACGTCAAACAGTGGGTTGGTAACCATGTTTTCGGTGGACATGTGGGAGGGCTTCCGTCGGACATCCAGACCTGGTTGGGTCGTGATACCTGCAACCAAGAGCAGGTTTCTGGTGATCACAAGCTGTCGGTGTGAAGCAGCCCTTTTATCAACACGTGGCCAAACAGAACCAACGCATGCATTATGTAACATATAAACCCAAACACTATGTCTACAAAAACAACAAAAGATAGAACTGAACAAAACAAAATAAAAAAAGGAAACCATAAAATGTTAGTGCACAGTCTCGCAGTTACGATGAGGTACGAACTAGCAGGAGAAATGAATATGAGGGAGCTGAAACAAACAGCTATAGAGGAGCGAGTTAGAGCTGCCAACACTCCTCCCCATTCATAAACACACAGAGCGAGTGAAACCATCCTCCCCCAAACAGTGCAACAAGGACAAGACTGATGGCAGGGAATGTTAAAGAGAAAAAAGCTGGAGCAATTGTAAGGAAGGTAATGGCAAATCATAAAACAGCTGACTGCAATTAAAATAATCTACTGTTCCTACTTACAAGATTTATAAGAAAGAAGAATTTGGATAAAAGATGCTGCAAGATAATAGAAATAAAAATGGAAACAAATCAAAGGACAGTAGTTATATCTTTTAAGATGATTATTAGTTTCGTCTTTTTAATTTCAGTAATAAGAAGCTTTGCTTCTCTTTTTAAAAAAATTAGATTCAAAGCTTTGAAATAGACTGGGCACTAGATACAAAAGCCTGGCAACTGGTAAAAGCCATGAATTGGACAATTAACATGCAAAAAATATGCGAAAAGAAAAACCAGGGAAACACTGATGCTGAATTAGATTAGGATTTAATAATCTTGACTGTAAAACTAGATCTTTGAGTTATGAGTGTACAAAGGTAGTTTTAGTTAGATTTCATTTGCATCTTGGAGGTAGGAGGTCATTTGACTAGCTTGCCTGAATTTTCTGTGCCAGCCTTACCTGTCATGCTGCTGTCTCTGTTCATGCCGTTGTGCAGTCTGCAGTGAACTAGGGCTGCATCGAATAACCACTGGCCGAATAGGTTCAGCACACTGTTAACCTTGGGTCGAGTAGGAGCAGGCAGGGGCCGAGGCTCCGAGCTGCTCTGGTTAGGGCTGGACAGTGGAGAAGTGGTGGATGTCTGGTGGGTGATTTTGGGAGGGTGCCCAGTACTCCCCTAGTCAGGTGGAAGGATTAAGAATAAAAAAACATTAGAGAGAAATCCAAGCCAATGTGAGGAAAGCGTTCAGGTCAACGGCTGGAATTCCATCCCTCAAGGCAACTGTTTAATTTTGCACGTAGGGAAACAGGAAACAGAACAAAGATGGTCACCATACTCTCCACAGGCGCTCCTGCACACTCACAGCAACCAGATAATAATAATACTAATAATCTTTGCATTTGATACAGCACCTTATCATATCTTCGAGACGTGTCAAAGCGCTTCACAGAATATACTGTAAAACGAATTGACTATATTTTGTGGGAGAAACGCGGCAGCCAATTGCGCACAGCAGCGTCCCACAAACAGTCGTGGATTGAAGTGACAAAATTAAATATTATTATTATTTTGAAGGGATTATTACCCCCAGAAAAGTGATCCGCCAATTGACTGACAACCAGGTGTCTACTTATTGCTAGGTAAACAGAGGCGTGTGGATTAAGGAAACTTGCCCAACGTTTCATCCTACCCAGGAATCAAACCCGCTCCGAGTGGCACAGACAGAGACAGGCCTAAGAGAGCTGACCTGTTCATTCAGCCGTGGTTGCTGTGTGCCTCGTGGACCAGACTTGTGGAATAAGCATTTCCCCGTCTCCCACACAAAAACAACAAAACCAAGTAAAGAGAAACTCACCGAGGTGGCTTTAACATTTGGCTTTGTGACGGTAACAGATCGTATCCTCCTGTTGTGAGGTGGAGTGGTGTTTGTGGTACTGCTGCTCTGTGGCATGCTCAGCCTGTTGACAGGGGTGGGAGGAGCGCTGTCGGAGCGCGGACGGGAAATGCCTACAAACAAACACCACCCGAGTGAAATCAACTGATGCCTCCACAGCTTATTCAACTCTTCAAAACAAAGCATTCCCCCACTGGTTCAGCAACTGATCAAAGGAAATATTTAGCTTCACAGAACAGCAACAGTGCAGTTGACTAAAATACCCGTTGTGTTTGTTGGGAAGTTTCTTTCACAGAGGTGGAGCTGGGAACAGTAAAGGCATAAATCTCGATGAAGCAATGCTGGCACCATGGAAATTGGCTCAGTGAATCAATTCATCATTCACTATTTATGGAAACAAGCCCATCACTGCCGTTCAGTTAGACTCTCCTAGAATAAATATTGTATAAAAAGAAGATGCAATGTTTGATACATTTTATTATTGCAATATCACATAGAATGATGGGCATGGAAACAGGCCATTCGGTCCATCTAGTCTATGCTGACCCAACTGGTCAATGCTGGACTAGGTACTATAAAAATAAAGTAATATGTTCAATTGTATAGAGCTTTGGTCAGATGCCATCTGGAATATTGCGTTCAGTTTTGGGCACCGCATCTCAGAATATATTGGCTCTGGAGTGGGTGCAGAATGATAGCAGTGCTTAAAGGGTTAAATTGCATAAACTTGGTCTCTATTCCCCTGAGTTTAGAAGGTTGAGGGGTGATCTGAAATAATAAAGGGATTTAATAGGGTAAGTACAGAGAAACCATTTCCTCTGGTGGAGGAATCCAAAACATGGGACATAGTCTTAAAATTAGAGCGAGGCCATTTAGGAGTGAAATCAGGGGCAGTTTTTCACCCAATGGGTAGTGGAAATCTGGAACTCTCTCCCCCATAAAGGATGTGGATACTGCATCCGTTCACATTTTCCAAGACTGTGGTCAATAAATGTTTCTTAGGTCAGGGTATTAAGGAATATGGGGCAAAGGCAGGTGATTGGAGTTGAGGTGCAGATCAGCCATGATCTTACAGAATGGCGGAACAGGCTCGAGCGGCTGAATGGCCTCCTCCTGTACCTATGTTCCTAATAATACTTTAAAAAGGAATACTATAAAAATAAGGCATGTACTTTTACCATTCACACTAAACTGAATTAGTGTGGAAGCTATTGTATTCAAATGATTCTACAGTTCAATCTGCCCCATAACAGTTACGGAAATGCTAATAATAAGACGTCTTCACTGCACCAATAACATTAAATCTTTCTTAACACTACAAAGATTTCAGGACTCTTTCCAGGACTGGCATTACACAGTTGGTGTGTCAGCTTTTTAGTCAGCAGTACCATTAAACTGTGAAACATTGGCTTACAGCAATCAAACATTATACATGTGAGGGAGAAATGGAAGGTTTTGTTAAAAAAAGGAGGAAATCAAAGAGAATCATTCCTGTATTCTGCAGAAACAAAACATTAAAGGTGCAGTATTCTTAATGGTAGGGATACAAATCTTGGTTTAAAAAAAAGCCATCTTATGGCCAGTCAACAGTTTAGAAAGTTCCCCATAGTTTAAATTACCCAAGGAACAGGTCACCAAGTTGTGAGGGACAGATATAGTGCTATTTGAATTAATCACATTTAAGACAAATTCAGATGATCAAAACTGTGCAATATACGTAAACTGGCATGTGGCCAAATAGCACCGGACTGTCTGTAACCATATGGATTTATTCCTTTCAAATAAATTCTCTTTAAAATCTGGTGGAACATATATATGATCAGTGAATGTGGCAGCATGGAAACAGGCCATTTGGCCCATTAAGTATTTCCTGGTGTTTTTTNCCCACGAGTCATCTAATCTACTCCTACCCTCCTGCTCGCTCCCCATACATACCTTTTAATATTGCTTTTCTTCAAAGCATCCATCTAATCTAATCCCCTTTTAAAGGCATTTACAGACTCTTCGTCCACAAACGTGAAGAATTACACATTCCATCCACCCTCTGGGGAACTTCCTTTTACTTCTGTTTATTACCACCCTAAACTTGTGTCATTCTGCGGGTTTTTAACAACTCACAGAATTGAGGTGCGACTGATTTTGTTTAAACCAGCAAGTGTATAAAAACTTTCCTTAAAATGGGGAATAATGTCAAGCGAATGAAACAAATCAGTATCAAAGAACCACAAGATGAATACCATGGCATTGATAATGTGAAGCCGATGGTGAGGAACGAGATAAAGCAGCAGCTAAACACACAGCTCAAATACATCCCATCCAATGCACCAGCTTTTACAATAAACTGCGCATTTCATGCCTAAAACTGAAATGACTTGCTCCAAAATCATTCAACTGGCATTCCATGCAGTTTTACATGCGAGACAATGTGGAGTGGATACAGTGCCCGAGATTCACCATTTTCAACAGCTACTCTTCAGGTCTACAATAATTAATAATAATCCTTGCATTTGATACAGCACCTTATCAAGTCGTTGTCACATTTCAAAGCACTTCACAGATTATACTGTAAAGTGGATTGACTGTATATTTTGGGGGAGCTAAACATGGTAGCCAATTGCGCACAGCAGTGACCCACAAACAGTAGTGGATTGAGTGACCAAATTATTATTTTTGAAAGAATTATTAGCAATAAGTGACATCCTTTAAAGGTTTTAAATGGACATTAACAAATTGAAAAAGGTAGTCCCATAATAGTAATAATAATAATCCTGTCATTTGATATAGCGCCTTATCACGTCTTTGAAATGTCTCAAAGCTCTTCACAGAATATACTGTAACGTGAATTGACTATATATTTTGTGGGCGAGACATATTAATAATTGAATCTCAATCTATGAGACGTCTAGAAGACGTGAAAAACGCTATATCAAATGTAAGGATTATTATGTGTGCTTATTCAGGAGTTACAATGACTGAAAGATGTACATTTTTTTTTAATTAAAAATTTTCTGGTCAGATTCCTGTGTGGCATTGATCAGTCTTGCACTGAAACTGACTTGCTAAGGTAGGTAGGCCAGACAAGGCGTAGCTTTAAAAATAGTAATTTTTTAAAAAAATGCCGCGTTTAGAAATGGAAATAGCTTCCTTGACTGCATCTGCACAGCCTCGTTCAAACAGAATACTGCAGCTTTAAAACAAATCTGATTGGCAGGAAACAGGGAGGTGCACATTAGTAACCATTATACCAGCTCCATGATTACTGATTACAGGCCGAATACTCAAGACTATATACCATAAGGGGGTAACTTTTCCCGAATGATATTGCTCCTTGCGATGCCTATGAAACAAAAGAGCATGGTGGTGTTTAAATGACATAGACACAGAATTAGACAGACTGCTACAGCACAGAAACAGGCCATTTAGTCCGTGCTTAATACTCCACACGGGCCCCCAACTCTCCTAATTCCCTTTCCCACACCCCTCAATTCTCTGCTCTCTAATGTATGTACATTAGAGCATTCAGTGAAGGAAGCTTATAAATACAAACAAAACAAGTGTGTCTAGAGACAGAAGTCAACAAACTGATTTTTCAAAATACCAACAAACTGATTCCAAAATATGTATTTACCAAAAGCAGGTAAACTGCATTAAACATTTATTGATAAAAGCATAAAACCATTCTTAATTAATGTAAAATAAATGTGGATAGATTTCAGTTAGGTCAGGGTATCAAGGGATATGGGGCAATGCAAGTAATTGGAATTGAAGTACAGATCAGGGATGATCTTATAGAATGGCGGAATAGGCTCGAAGGGCTGAATGGCCTACTCCTGTTTCTGTGCTCCTAAACCCCCTTTTACAATAGAAATAGCGGCCTAATTAATCAATTGGAAGCTTACAAAAATACATTAAAAGAAACTCCACTTTTCAGTGGGTTTTACCAGACTATTATAAATGGGATGATTGCTGGCAGAGTTGGGGAGGATTATTACAGAATGCTTTGGCCCAAGTGGCTGTTCAGGCTAAAACCATAATAATAATCTTCCTTGCATTTGATACACCCCCTTATCATGTCATTGACACATCTCACAGCACTTCACAGAATATACATTAAATTGTAGTGACTGTATATTTTGTGGGCGTAATGCGGCAGTCAATTGCACACAACAGTGTCCCACAAACAGTCGTGGATTGAGTGACCAAATTATTAGTATTTTTGTTTTTATAACCTTTAAGAGGGAATTGGATAAATATATGAAGAGGATCGGTATAAGAGGTTACAGGGAAAGAGCAGGGATTAGAGTGGTTAGCTCAGTTGATGAGCTCATACCAATATAGGCTCAATAGACTGAATGCTTCTATGAACTGTATGCCCAAAACACAGTTACCATGTCATGGCATTTCGGGACTCAGTGGATTAGGGAGTCACAGGGATACACTTTCCACTGTAGTCCAGTACAATGGGCAAAACCATTCACTGGAGACTCACAAGACAAGCTCCTGAACGGAGGCATCCTGGCCAACACCTGCAATGCACTACCTCACAAGGAGGGACAATTAAAGGTGAGCCACATACACCCTGAATGCTCTTGTACCAGCTTTGAGGCTAAAGTGTGGGAGAAGGCCGCTCATTGGTTGGGGAATGTTGCATTTCTCAAGAAGACTCTTATTATGAATATTTTCCCCTCTTAAACCTAAGATTAAAAACTAGTTTCATGTACATTAGGAATATATTGATGTGTAAATTTACCCAGGAATGCGTCCACCAGGCAGCTGACACCGCGCATGGCTCGAAAAAAGATCTGAGGAAGCTGCTTGAGGCAGGCGTGCTGGATCACTTCCTGGGTTATCCCACTGACATTCAAAAGCTGCTCCTGAAACTTTGGTGTGGTGCTGATTATGGTTGGGTTACTCAGGTCCACAGGATTGCTAAAATAAACAATTTAAAACAAAAAGATAGATTTCTGTTAGAAAATATCAACAACAACAGCTTGCATTTATATAACGTCCCTCATGCAGGGTAGCGTCCCGGAGCTCTTAACAGTGGCAGAGCACGAAGCCAAGCCCCAGGAACGGTCGAAGAGGAAGGTTTTTAGGCGCGCGATCTGAAGATGGGTAGGAAGGTGCAAACTATACACTGTATCTCAGGATACAGTATATAGTTTGGGACACGACATGTCAAGCGACTGCCAAGATGGTGGAAGGTGAACTGGATGGACCTTGGTCTTCTTTTGCCAAGCAAATTTTTATCTCCTTAGAAAGACAATTCATAAAACAAAACTACATCAATATTGCTCATATCGCCTCAAATTTCTTGTAGCTCAACACTAGCTGAATCAGACAGCTGGTTTTGCTTTATTAGAGGAATTTCACTCTTATCATGGTAAAGATCGGTCCGGATGAGATATCTATGCCAGTCTCCCCACAGTGAAACTGTGGGGCTTAATATTTCACTGTGGACTAGAGTCTACATCTGAGACACACACACCAAGAATGAACCTTACCTAAGCATGTGTAAAATACGAAACCAAGTCTGGGCGACACAGTCATTGTCCATTTCTGATGGGATCAGGTTTGCATCCTCATCAGGAACTTTGAACGGGGGGAACGAGGGCCCGTAGGTAAACCGAAGGAGCCTAAAGTACAGAGAAGCAAAAGTCAAAACCGTAATTCAAGTGAGATTTTTTTTTTTTAAAAAAAAACCTAAATAGCATCTCACAACATTTACCATCAGTTGTTTTCTCAAATTTCTTGAACACAAAAGATCTTAAAGTTTCATTACTGCATTATTCCTGTAATTAAGATCCCTCAAAAGGAAAAGCAATGGCTTGTAACAATTTTCTAATTTGACAACAGTTCTAAAGTATAACAAAATCTGAGATGTGGGACTGTGAGATTGAATTTACTAGGTCCACACTGTCAACCTCTGAATTCTTCTCAGGTTGATAGTCTCTTAGTTGGCTTTGCAGTTCCTTAGTAAAATACTATGATAGGTTTAGTCCAGTTCCTGATAAGCATGAGATAACAGCAACCAAGTGCCCAATACTTTACATCACTCAGACAGAGTGGGAATCCTGGCATAACATGCTGGAAACACTATCTCATTGGCTGAACAATGCAGTCTCTGACATAAAGACTCCAGGTACCTACCTGGAGGTCAGTGCACAAATGACTTTACTCCACTGCTCGACCACAGCGGGGTGATGCCTCCAGTTGGCTAACATTTCTCGAGCAGTCTTCCAGTACGGTGGGGTGGGGAAGCACCGGGTACATGCCAGGAACCAGACTTCAAACAGAACCCCAATCAACTTGTCAGCAAGGTTTTCTGCTAGTCCTCCTAAAGGAGAGGCAAGAAGAATAACACTCAGTTGGTCTTTATAATACTTATATATCACCTTATCGCGTCTTCAAGACTCTCAAAGCTCTTCACAGAATATACAGTAAAGTGAATTGATTGGATATTTTGTGGGCGAAACTCGGCAGGCAATTGCACACAGCAGCGTCCCACAAACGGCAGTGGATTGAGTGACCAAATTATTATTACTTATTTATTTTGAAGGGATTATTACTCCAGGAAAAGCGATCCGCCAATCGACAACAACCAGATTCCTACTTACTGCTGGTAAACAGAGGTGTGTGGAGTAAGGAAACTTGCCCAACGTTATGCCCTGCTCGGGAATCAGGCCCTGGTTCTCTCGCTTGCGATGCGAGTGCTCTAACCGCTGAGCTACAGGATTCTACAAATTATTTTAGAAAGACTGAAAATATAAGATTGGGTTCAATCGTGCTCGCAGTGGTTGTGGAGCAGTGTACTAACCTTGTATTGTTGGCGCTGCCAAAAGAGCGTCATTAATCTGCAGTAGGAAGAGCAGCAGCACTTCCCAGGTCTCCCTTGACATGTGAGCAGACTCACGTGCTAGTTTCTGAACAGCGGCTAGAACCCGCAGACACAGGGTGCTTTGGTTCTGTGCATGCTCTTGCCTGAGGTGTGGGCAAAACAAATGTACATGTCAGAAACAGCACATTCCAGCACAACACTGTAGTGTTATTTAATTTTAAGCAATGGTGCTTCCCCTTTAAGGGAACCCTGTGCACGTACCGTGGGACAAAAAGATTCTGTAAGTGTTTGAGAATAGTTTGTACGTATAGATTGGGTTCTTTGATAATGGGCTGAGGGATGGAGTCTCGGCGAGCCACCACAGCCATGATCCAATCGGTGTATACGTCCACACACAACTTTACTGTGTCTCCATCGAGAGGCAGCGTCAGGCCATAGCAAAGCACCTCCATGGTCCATTTTACCTGCCCAGTGAAGCAAAAACACAATTATCACTGTCCTGGATTGCACAAGTTTCTCTCAATCACACCCAATGCCGTTGAATCTTCTGAAGGAATATAAGGCCTTCCCGCTCGAAAACCTGGGATACAGGAACCACAGAACATCTCACTGATGAGTACAATCCTGCAAACCTCTCAACAGAAGTAACTTGTCAATTAACCAAAACATACACTACATATACTACACAAGGTTGACTGGCCCGAAAACAGTAAGAATTTGAACAGCAAACTGAAACAAAAAGGATTCCTGGTTTCTCTGAATTATAAACTTCTTTTTGCAAGTACTGTATGTTGATTCTTTCATTTCTGGTCTCTTACCTCTTTGTCTGTCTTCAGGATGCTTTCATTGCCCACCGCGGAGGAAATATTCAGTCCCTGTCCCAAGGGACGGACCACAGCATTTGCCACGTCTCTGCCAACATTCTCAGGATAGCTGTGCAGAACGCTCATGTGCCCCTGGTCGCTCTGGATAACCAGCTGGAGTGATCGCCACTCCGAATACATGGTGCATCTGTACCACACAAGCCTCACTTCAACATTTGTCTGAATGAAACAAAGATATCAAACAATATTAATATACAACTCGTCTTCTGTTCAATCCCTTGCCATCAAAACAAACACAACAACAAATTACATCTGTATTGCACTTTTCGCATTGGGAGGACATCCCCAGGTGCTGGACATTAAGGAATTTGAGATCCAAGCAGGTGATTGGGATCAGGAGGGGTGGAGGGCAGATAGGGTAGGAGTAGGAGGTTGACTGAAGGTACGGTCGAAGAGGAGGGTCTTGAGACCTGTCTTGAAGAAGGCAAGGGAGGGAGGAAGGCGAAGGAACAGTGGGGTGGAGTTCCAAAGGTTGGGGGAATAGAGGCTGAAGGCCTGACTGCCAATGGTGGAGCAGGCCTGTTGAGGGATGTGGAGCTGGCCGGAGCCTGCTGAATGGAGGGAGCAGACAGGTCGGGATAGACAAAATCAAAGTAACATCTCCAATGTTAACATCATGGTCACTTTAATTACCTGTACTTAAACTTCTTGAACCATTCTACGATCTCCTGAAGTAGAATTCCCCAGAAGTTAGAGCGGAAATATAATTTGATTATGAACTGTAACGTTTCAGATAGGAAGTTGGAAATTTGCTGGTAAATGTGATTTAGTTGCAGAAAGCTCAACACCACTTCGAGACCATACTTGGCGTGCTAGTATGCGTGAAGGACACTATATAAATGTAACTTGTTGTTGGTGTATATGCAAATGTGTCAAACATAATGTAAACTGCCTCAAATTTAAATGTACATCTCAGTTTAGGATCTTGTTCACTAGCTAAAATACAAATTCTCTTATAAATTAAGATCTGTTAACTCCAACTTCCTGAATTACCTGAGAGTCAAACTCAAAACTTTGTACACTGATGTGCATCTGAACTTCCTCCTCCTCCTCCCACCAATTACCATGATCATACTTTAATTACTACTTGCTACTGTCTGCCTAGAACAGGCATTTTGCTGAAATTTCCCCTGAAGTAACATCTCGTTTTTTTCTTTAAGTGAAGTAAAGATTGAACAGCAGCTTATATTCCTGGAATGGAAACATCGGGGCTCCACTAAAGCATCTCAATGGTGAAGCTGATCCCAAGACAACAACAAGATTACATTTTACATCGGGAGACTCCCTCACATCAGACTCACAACGAGGGCCAGATGAAACTGAGAAGTTTCTACGTAACATTTCATATCTAGACTGGTTAAATTGGGTGGTTTTCCTTCAACTCCCAAAACTGCATTCCATGAGAACCAAACCCCTTAACACACTCACACAAATATCAATCAACTCGATGACCTGCACCTCACCCTAATAGAAATCCACAGCAGAAACTCACAGCTGGTTGAAGTATTTCAGACTCATCCATTTTGGCCAACAACAATTTGCACTTATACAGCAGCCTCCACGCAGGGTAGTGTCTCAGAGCGGAGCCAGACTCTGAGTGGGGTGACCCTAAGCCCAGTCAAAAAGGAAGGTTTTCAGGCAGGACTTGAAAAAAAGGAGGGGGAAAGGCAGAGGGAATGAAGGAGAGTGTTCCAGTTTCAGGGCTTAGCGGCTGAATAGTCAACCTCCAATGGTGGAGTGGAGGGCACGAGGGACAAGCGGGAGGCCGGTGGTGCCAGTCGAGTGGAGGCACTGGGTGGTGGATTGGGGAGTGAGTAGGTCGGAGAGGTATGGAGGTGCCAAGGAGTGAAGAAAACCTGCAGAAAATACTGTGCATTCAGGTTGAAATCAACCAGTGCTTTCTGAATGTCAGTTTAAGCATACAACTTTCAAAACAGAAACACTATTCTGGAAAAGAAGGCGATGTCATCCAATTTTAAAGTCCAGAAACTCCTTCCAAAAGCAAATCTTAACTGTCTCATCTCATTTTGTTTCCAATCTTAGCGGTAGTGGCATAAATATTTCTGTTACAAGCATTTGTTTATAGACTATTTCTTCTGTGTCGTGATAAATTATACATCACAATATTAAATATTTCAATACCAGCCTTTATAAAGCACAAGTAATGGAACACTGGAATTTAACTTGGAATTAATTCCCTTTCCACACAAGCTAAAATCTGGTTAGCCATACCAGGACAAGAGATGAGGAAGATGAAAATGGTCAACAAGAAAGCAAACAGATGAGTTTGATGAATTAACAGAAGTTTCTCTGGTTTACATTTTGCTTTATTCTCTATAAACTGTATTGCAGCCAACTCACTTTCCTTAGATTTACCAAAGAACTAATTTAGGATGATAGCATTATCAGTGTTAAAATAAAAATAATCCTAGCATTTGATAAAGCACCTTAATAATAATAATCCTTGCATTTGATATAGCGCTTTATCACATCTTCGAGATGTCTCAAAGCGCTACACAGAATATACTGTAAAGTCCCAATGTGGAGCTTTAATCCACAACCCTCTGACAAATAACCCTCAGCACCTTGGGACGTCCTCCCGATGTGAAAGGCGCTATACACACGTACCTACAAGGCCATTCACGGCCTCGTTCCCTCCTACCTCTCCGACCTACTATCCCCCTACTTACCTGCCCGTACCCTCCGTTCCTCTGGCTCCGGTCTGCTCCACATCCCCCGCCCCAACCGCCCTACCATCGGTGGTCGGGCCTTCAGCCTCTCAGCCCCGAGGCTCTGGAACTCTATCCCCAGTGCCTTCGCCGCCTCCTCCCTCTCCTCCTTCAAGGACGGTCTCAAGACCTTTCTCTTTGACCATACCTTCAGCTCCCCTCTCGACTCTCTACCCCCTCCTCGCTCCCTCCCTTCCCTCCCCTCACCCTGACCATTTCCCCCCAATGCTCGGGTCCTGACCCAACTGTACAGCGCCTTGGGACGTCCTCCCGACGTGAAAGGCGCTCAATAAATGGAATCTTGTTGTTGTTGTAACATTGTATTGCATTGTGAAAGAGGAATGTGCTACCACCTAAGCCAGGCTAACACAACACACAGCATAACTTGATCTGCACTTCCTCATTATTAATTATTATTATTATTAATTATTCTGACAGGTCATAAACAGTGTGGGAAATGGCTACATTAATCTACATTCCTGTAGATTCCTGTAGATTCTCTTGATAATTCTCTTTGATAAAGGATGGCATTTATAGTAAACAAAATAACTTTTCTCTTAATTTACAGTAAACAACAGTAAATTATAGGTCTGAATGCGACAAAGTCAGGGTGCAAGGCATTATTGCAAACTCAAGGTCACCTCTATAAACCAAGGAACAATAAATTCTATCTTATAAACTGAAAGCAAGTTTTATTATATTCTGTTTTTAAAAAAACTTTTGAAAGTGAGTTATAGCACAATAAGGTCAAAGACATCCGTAATAAGGACATGTATTTGACCGCTTTAGGACTGATGAAAGATTGAGAGACATTTATACGAGGGCATTGACAAGCATATCAGAAATGTCCCCCAACCTACTGCATGCTCCAACCAACACTGATCAACACATGCTGTTTAATTCTGTGTTTAACATAAAGTCTGTACAATAAGTAGGAGAAACAGTATGTATCCAAACCAAACAAGAGTTAAAAATGATGATAATAATCCTTGCATTTGATATCATGTTGTTGAGACGTCTCAAAATGAGGTCCATGCATCCACCTATACATGGAAATTCCCAAGATATTTATGGAAATGGATTGTGTGTTCTTTCCCTGGAGGGATACGTCCTGCTTACCTAATTCCGGAAAGTATTAGGTGCATGTTGGCCAAAGCCAAGCCTTGGGGATCCCAGAGTGTGCTTTGGGGTGCTGCTGGCATTTAACCAAGCAAAACCACATAGCTTGCCATTGAGGACACTATCTGGCAAGCTGCCCACTGCTTGTCCAGCTAGGCCAACTCTAACTCTAACCATTAGGGCTTTGGCTTGCGAGCTGAGTGGGAAGACTCCCTGCCCACAGCGACTGTCCTGCCCTTCCAAGTACCACTGATGAGCCACGTTGGCTGGTCTGTCATCAGCAGTGTCCTGGAGTACTGCTGACCCAGCTGGCTCGGAACTGGACCCCTCCCGGAGGATCGTCACTTGTTGGTCAATGTTCCACTTCACCTTGTTTCAATCCCACAGTGTCTCTTGTACTGTAAATTCTACAATACCCAAAATGTTCACCCAAAGAAAATTATTCCAACACAACTACAGATAAACAGCAAAGCAAGGTCCACTAAAACTGAATACACTGAAAATGTCAACTTTTATTACGAACTGTCACCGTGGTCATTAAAAATAAAGCTTCAGCTAAAAAAACAAGTCTCTCACTGGCATAAAATGATTATGTTACGTCTTTTTGTGGGGAGGGGCGGGAGCACACTGAAAGGCTCAGAATCAGTAACAAAAGCACAAAGTGCCTGTAAACAACAAGAGAGCGGATGGGCTAGGCTCAGCCTTGAAATATTCTCCAGGTTTAGGCAGCTCCAGTGCAGTAATTTTCCTTTTATTGTAAAGTGATCAGCCATTACAATCATTCACATTGAGAGGTCAATAAGGTGCAATTGTAATGCAAACTTAAACACTGCACAGAAAGTGTCCTGTCATTAATTCAGATTAGCAGGAGGATGTGCTACCCACTACTGTATTGGCTTATATTCGCCCGCAAAATACAGTCAATTCACTTTACAGTATATTCTGTGAAGCGTTTAACGACGCTTCGAAGACATGATACAGCGCTGAATCAAATGCCAGGATTATTATTATAATTATTATTAGAACGTCAGGGTTTATAAATACACCAACAAAACCTTTGTATTCGTGGCTTCTGACATAACATGTTTGTACCTCGGTATTTGTTTTTTTGTGCACTGCAATGGATAGACCGGTGCTGGAGCTGACCCGGGCTAACGCTTGCGAAGCGGCAATCTGCGTACGTGAGCCCGAGGCTTCACCTGCACCGCAGGCCGCGGCGGGCAGTGCAGTAGGAGGGGCGCTGTTGTTTTTTGGACAGAACTTAACAGGAAGACAAATAAAGAGGATTAAAGAAACATCAGAAGGTGGTGTCCGGGCGCCATGGCGTGTTACCTGTGTAAATGGACGGAGCTAACATGTCCGCGCTGCGCCCGCTCGTCCCGCAGTCTCCGTTACCATAGAAGGGAAGCCATCGCTCGGCTCGGGGGATGGTCGGAGACGAGCCCCGCAGAGTCCGGGACGTGCCGGAAATAGCCGATATTAACCGAAGAGAGCCGAGGCTGCTCGGGGAGAGCCGGCGGCCGCCGGAAACAGACGAAGGTTCCGACGAATGCTCGGCGCCGCCCTGAGGCACAGGAGGCAAAAGCGCGGGAAGCGGTGTACGGCGGTTGAAGGGATGACGCCCCTCAGGTTTGTGAGATCGCGGCTGGAACGCGCTTCGGGGGTGGATTCCTGTTACTCCAAACCTCACCTACACTCTCGTCAGTGAAGTGACTGTCTCCGCGGGTCGGGGTCCCCCCGGAGCAGCGGCGGCCGCCCACAGACACAGTCACTACACTGCCGTAATTCCTACAAACCGTCCTCTGCACTTTTATTTCTTGTTTGATGCGACTGAAAGCTACCAGTAACCCTCGCTCCCGAGGGACACGGTTGAAGCAGGAAATGTTGATTCTTTCCAACACAGATTAGATAGTTTTCTTTTAGGAAACAACATTTATGGGACACAGCACATGGGTAGTTCAGGACATAGGTGATGCGACTGCCAGGAAGGTGGAAGGCGACCCAGATGGACTGGGTCTTTCATCTTGCATTCTTATGCTCTTATGTTCTTATGCATTTGATGTAGCGCCTTATCAACAACAACAACAACAACAATAAGATTTCATTTATTGAGCGCCTTTCATGTCGGGAGGACGTCCCAAGGCTCTGTACAGTTGGGTCAGGACCCGAGCATTGGGGGGTGAAATGGTCAGCGTGAGGGGAGGGAAGGGAGGAGGCGAGGAGGGGGGAATAGTCAGTGTGAGGGGAGGGAGAGAGCGAGGAGGGGGGAAATGGTCAGTGTGAGGGGAGGGAGAGAGCGAGGAGGGGGGGAATGGTCAGTGTGAGGGGGAGAATGGTCAGGGGGAGGGAAGGGAGGGAGTGAGGCAATGGTCAGGGGGAGGGGAGGGAAGGGAGGGAGCGAGGAGGGGGGAAGTGGTCAGTGGCATGGTTGTGGATTTTCACACTCGGACTATATGTTGTTATGATGGATGCATATGGTAAAAATATTTTTTATTGTGATTCAAAGTATTAAGGCATGTGTCAAGCGATGTGTTGGAACCCAGCAACCAGTATTATTAGCAATGGAATATGATTCGAACGATGATGATTATCTGGAAGATAAAGAGTATGGCCCAGATGAAGATTAAGGTATTCTCATACTTAAGAAACTAATCTCATTTATGAAGATGTGACTTTAAATTGTGTAAAAAAACAAACAGAAACATCTGAAAAATGGAGGTTGTCATAATTATGAAGAATGAACCAAAAGATTATAAAAGGAGGGATTGACAGATAATTTAGGTAGTTATAATCATATGTTTCTATGTATAAGGTAACTAAAGTTCAATACACATGATGCTTAAAGCTTCGGTCGAGGCTTTGGTTTAAACCTCAACTGCCTGTTTGAACATAAACAAACTTCCATTGGTGGATAAGGGAACCGCCCCTTATTCCTCTGCATTGTATATAAGTTTGTGCGAACAGCACGTGGGGGGCGTTTTAACTTGGAGAAGTGGCGACCCTATCTCTGTTACCAGACTAGTGTGACTGGTTCAGACTTAGAGAAATAAACTTGTTTGTGTTTCAGTAAGTTGTTTCTGTGTTTATTGTATGTGTGTGTCTACAATACAGGACAAGAAGGTAAAACAAAAATTTACCTAACAGTCAGGGTGAGGGAAGGGAGGGAGCGAGGAGGGGGTAGAGAGTCGAGAGCGGAGCTGAAGGCTGAAGGTCAAAGAGAAAGGTCTTGAGACCGGCCTTGAAGGAGGAAAGAGGAAGTGGCGAAGGCACTGGGGATAGAGTTCATTCAGGAAAACCAATCGGTTGCATTTACATAGGAACATAAGAATTAGGAGCAGGAGTAGGCCATTCGGCCCCTCGAGCCTGTGCTCCGCCATTCGATAAGATCATGGCTGATCTTCAGACCTAACTCTAATTACCTGCCCTATCCCCATATCCCCTAAACCCTCTATTTTTAAAAAATCTATCAGTCTCAGCCTTGAAGATGTTCAAGGACTGAGCATCTACAGCCTTCTGGGGTAGTGAATTTCACTGCCCTCTGAGTGAAGAAATGTTTCCTCAACTCTGTTCTAAAAGGCTGACCCTTAATTTTAAGACTGTGACCCCTGGTTATAGATTCTCCTCCCGGGGGAAACAGACCCTCAGTGTCTACTTTATCAGCCCTTTAAGAATCTTGTATGTTTCAATAAGATCTCCCCCAATTCTTCTGTACTCTTGAGAATACAGCCCCAGTTTATTCAGCCTATCCTCATAGGTCAGTCCCCACATCCCAGGAACTAACCGAGTGAATCTACGCTGCACCCCCTCTATGTCCTTTTTTAAATAAGGACCAAAACTGCACACAATACTCCAGGTGCGGTCTCACCGGGGCCCTATACAGTTGCAGCAAGACTTCCCTACTCTTGTACTCTGAACCTTTTGCAATGAACGCTAACATGCCGTTCGCCTTCTTAGTTGCTGCTGCACCTGCAAACTAACTTTTTGAGACTGGTGTACAAGGACACCCAAATCCCTCTGAACACTAACACTATCTAATCTCTCCCCCTCTAGAAAATAATCTGTTTTTCTATTTTTGCTACCTAGGTGAATAACTTCACACTTCCCCACATTAAATTCCATCTGCCACCTACTCGCCCACTCCCCTCGCCTATCTATATACCGTTGCAATCTTTTTGCATCATCCTCAGAGCTTACTCTCCCACCGAGTTTAGTGTCATCCGCGAATTTAGATACGTTACATTCAATGTCCTCGTCGAGATCATTGATGTAAATTGTAAATAGCTGAGGCCCAAGCACTGATCCTTGTGGCACTCCACTAGTCACATCCTGCCAATTCGAGAATGACCCGTTTATCCCTACTCTCTGTTTTCTACCCGTTAGCCACTCTTCAATCCATGCTAATATGTTCCCATTAATCCCGTGGGCCTTAACCTTGTGCAATAGCCTTTTGTGTGGCACTTTGTCAAATGCCTTTTTAAAATCTAAATATACTACATCTACTGGTTCCCCCCTATCTAACCTGCAGATACATCTTCAAAAAACTCTAAAAGATTAGTTAAGCATGACTTCCCTTTTGTAAAGCCATGTTGACTCTGCCTAATCTTGTTATGGTCTTCCAGGAATCCCATAACGACATCCTTAATTAAGGACTCAAGAATTTTCCCTACCACTGAAGTCAGACTAACTGGTCTATAGTTCCCCATCTTTTCTCTCCCACCCTTCTTAAATAGTGGTGTCACGTTTGCAATCTTCCAATCAATGGGAACCGTTCCAGAATCCAGAGAATTTTGGAAGATCAAAGACAAGCCATCCACTATCTCAGTAGCCACCTCTTTTAAAACCCTAGGATGTAGGCCATCAGGTCCAGGAGATTTATCAGTTTTAAGACCTGATAATTTACCTAAAACCATTTCTTTACTAATATTAATTCCTCCAAGTTGCTCGCTAACATTGTCTTCTTGGTTCCCCTCTATTCTTGGTAGGTTTTCAGTGTCTTCTAAGGTGAAGACAGTAGCAAAGTACTTGTTTAATGACTCTGCCATGTCTTTGTCCCCTACTATAATTCCCCCGTCTCTGCCTGTAGCGGACCCAAATTTACTCTTGACAGCCTCTTCCTCTTTATATATTTATAAAAAACTCTTACAGTCTGTCCTTATGTTCTTCGCTAATTTGCCCTCATATTCCATTTTCTCCCTCTTAATCAATTTTTTGGCTCTTTGTTGATCCCTAAAGTTCTCCCAATCCTCGGGTTTACTACTCATCTTAGCTGTTTTATAGGCTTCTTCCTTTAACTTTATACTGTCCCTAACTGCTCTAGTTAGCCACGGTTGGGCCACCTTTCCCGTGGCATTCTTATTCCTCAAAGGAATATGTGCTCGCTGGGAATTTTGCACTATCTCCTTAAACGTCTGCCATTGCTGGTCTACTGTCAAATCCTTAAGTCTAATTTCCCAGTTTATTTTGGCTAAATCCTCTCTCATACCAGCAAAATTGGCTCTACTAAAAAAATTAAGACCTTTGCTTCGGACTTAACTACTCTCTCTAACTTAATTCCATCATATTATGATCACTTTTCCCTCGAGGAGCCTTAATTTCCAGTTTGCTGATCAGCCCTGCTTCATTGCACAAAACAAGGTCTAATATGGCCTGTTCCCTGGTTGGCTCCTCGGCACACTGATCCAGATAATTATCCCTAATACATTCTATAAACTCTTCCTCTATCATACTTTTCCCAATTTGGTTGTCCCAATCTATGTGCAGATTAAAATCACCCACAATTAATGTTTTTCCTTTGCTACATGCTCCGCTAATTTCCTGATTTATACCTTGAGAGATACTGTGACTGCTGTTCAGGGGTCTATAAACTACTCCCACTAGAGTTTTCTGCCCCTTGTTGTTACGTACTTTTCATAGATTTTTTTCATAGATTCATAGAATGTTACGGCACAGAAGGAGGCCATTCGGCCCATCGAGTCTGTGCGACTCTTTGACAGAGCGTCACTTTCACTAACCCCAATCACCAGCTTTCTCCCCATAACCCTGCAAACCTGTCTTCCCCAGATACCTATCCAGTTCTCTCTTGAAAGCTGTTACTTCTACCCATACTGACTCTACTTCCTGCTTTTCCTCTCTACTGTTTTTAATCCCATCCTTTATTAGCAGGGCCACCCTCCCCTCCTCGTTTACCACATTGCCTATCTTTTCTTTACACCACGTATCCTGGAATATTTAGCTCCCACCCTTGATCTCCCTGTAACCATGTCTCGGTGATGGCTACCGGATCATACCCGTTTGTTTCTATTTGTGCAGTTAATTCATCTATCTTGTTTCGAATACTTTGCGTATTCAGATATAGCACCTTTAATTCTGACTTTGGGCTATTAGTCCTATTCACCAGTGAAAAAGCGCTATATCAAATGCAAGGATTATTATTATTATTACCCTATCCCTGGGCTTCCTTTCCCCGTTTGACACACTTTGCTCATCTCCCTCGTTAATCCGCTCTCCCACTTTCATTGGTCCTAATTTTAATTGTAACGGATTACATGTGATTGATTTTACGCACCCCTTTAGTAGTTTAAAACCCTGTCTACCTCCCTATTTATTCGTGTTGCCAGGACATTTGTCCCAGCCCTGTTTAGGTGGAGTCCATTCCTTTGGAATAGCTCTTGTCTCCCCCAATACTGGTGCCAGTGGCCCATAAAGTGAAACCCCTGCCCTCTGCATCACTCTTTTAGTCAGGTATTCAGCTCTTTAATTTTCTTTTGCCTGTACCAATTTGCCCCCGGCTCAGGTAATAATCCCGATATTAACACCTTTGATGTTCTACTCTTTAGTTTAACTCCCAATTCCTGGAACTTGCTCCTCAACTCGTCCCTACCGGTCCTTCCTACATCATTGGTCCCTATGTGAATCATAACAATTGGATCCACTCCCTCCTGCTTCAATTTTTTCTCCAGCCCAGAAGTGACGTCCTTCACCCTGGCCCCAGGAAGGCAACAGAGTCTTCTTGTCTCCCTGCTATGGCTGCAGAAAAGTGCGTCAGTCTTCCTGACTGTCTCATCCCCAATGACCACTATATTCCTTCTGACTATTCCCCTTTGTGTGGCCTCCTGTATAGAGGTGTTGGGGTAAGTTTGCCCATCTTCCTCACAGACTTCCTTGTCCACACAGGTTGCAAATATTTCATGCCTGTCGGACAAGGTTAAAGCCTGAGGTTCCTCTGCTCCTTTCTTTCGGGTCCCCTTACCCGCCTGTCTGATCGTCACCCATATATGGCATTCTTAGGGTTTCATAATGAGTCACAATTATTGTTATAAACCTTTGTTCTGATAATCTAATTTTTTTGAGATTGATACAAACTTTGTGTCTCAATGACGAAATTTGAGAAGTCTCGCCTCGCAAGCGAAAGACCTGAGTTCAATTCCCGGCAGCGCAAAACCTTGGGCAAGTTTCCTTACTCCACATGCCTGATAATAATCCTTCAAAAAAAAACAATAATAAAATCAGTCACTTCAATCCATGATTGTTTGTGGGACGCTGTTGGGCGCAATTGGCAGCCGCATTTCACCCACAAGTATACAATCAATTCACAGTCTATTCTGTGAAGTGCTTTGAGACATCTAGAA